TACAAGTATCTTTAAGTATATAGTGGTATGCAGAGAAAACATACGTGCATGAATATATACACGAAGTTAATAAATATATATTCAAATACATACAAATATATAACATATATACAAATATAGACAAATATAGACAAATATATATGTATATATATATGTATATATATATATGCAATATAAACATATGCATATATATATATATATATATATATATATGCATATATATATAGATGTAAGCATAAATGTACAACAATTAGAGGGTTGGCGAGATACAAAACAAATAAAAGAATTAAAGCAAAAGTTTATTGTTGCAACTGCTGATAAAAAGACGAAGAAAAAAATTATAATTTTGTTGTGGTGTTTGTTCTTCTATGAAATTGTTTGTTCTTCCTATGCATGCATATCTTCTCTTAATGAATTAGTTTGTTTACTTTATATATATTTATTTATTTATTTATTTGCATTTTTGTTGTCTTCACGTTGATATAATTTGGAGTGTATAGGCAGCTAACAGTCTCAAGGACGGAAGTAGCTCCGCAAATCTGTCTGTCCCCTTTCCTTTGTCTTTTGTTTCCCGCTGCTGCTGCTGCTGCTGTTGCTGCTGCTGCTGCTTGTGCATTTGCTGCTGCTGCTCTTGCTGCTGCCGCTGCCCCGGCCGCTGCTGCTGCGCTTGAAAGTGCTGCGGCTGCTGCTCAAGGTGTTTATTTTGTGAGGCTGAGCAGCAGCAGCAGCAGAAGCAGCACCAGCAGCAGAAGGTATTAGACAGGAACGCTCTTTCTCTAAGGTGCTGCATGCCTTCTGCTGCTGTTTAAATCTTGAAGCCGGGCTGCTGCAGTTGCTGCTGCAGTTGCTGCTGCTGCTGCTGCTGCATTCAATGTACTCTACTGCCTCCTGTTGCATGCAAGTGCGTGCACGACTTGCTGCTGCTGCTGCTGATGCTGCTGCAGTCTCCTCCCCGTGGGCCCCGCTAGCCTCAAAATGTGTTTTGAGTTTGTCTTCTGCTGCTGCTGCTTGAATTTGTCTATGCGGTGGATGTATAGCAGCAAATTTCGTTGGCTTTTGCTGCTGCTGCAGGTGGCTTGCTAGCGAGCTGCATAAATGCTGCTAAGCTTTTCTGCTTTCTGTGGGGTTGAGCCCTGAGAGTAATTTCGTCTCGCCCCAAAGAGCAAGGCCCCAACAAAGCCCTACCCCCTGCTGCTGCTGCTGCTGCAGTGTACTTACTGCTGCTGCTGCTGCTGCGGCTAAGCACACACCTGACTGGAATATGATCGCTGTAGAGGGGTGACAAATAGACAAGGCCTGAGCTTGAAGGATTTAAGTGCATGCGCTGCTGCAGCTGCTGCTGCACTTCTGCTGCTCCTGCATGCAGCAGCCACGAAGCAACACCTGCATGCAACCCGCCGCCTTCTCGTGGGGCCCCCGCCCAAAGCCCTTCTCCTGTTGCGCGCAGAAGTGCAGCTCTTGCTGCTCTTTTATATGCTTCTAAAGACAACTGCTGCTGCTGCTGCTGCTGTTGCTGCTGCACCTGCGCTGCAGCAGCAAACAGGAAACCGCAAAACGCACGTGCTACCGTGAAGAGCAGCAGCAACAGCAACAGAATCAGCAATATCAATATCAACAGCAGCAACAGGATGCCAGCAGCAGCAACAGCAACAGCAGCAACAGCATCGGCAGCATCATCAGCAGCAGCAGCAACACCAGGATCAACAGCAACAGCTGAAACAGCATCAACCGCCCGATCAGCAGCAACAGCAGTAGCGAAAGCAGCAGCAACAGCAGCAGAAACATCACCACCTACAGCAACAACAACAGCTACAGCAGCAGCAACAGCAGCAACAGCAGCAACAGCAGCAGCAACAGCAGCAGCAACAGCAGCAGCAACAGCAGCAGCAGCATTGCTTCGTACAAGGACAGAGACCGATGAGAGGGGGGGCATGAGGAGGCGTTTCGCTTTTAGGTTGAAGAGCAGCAAGAAGAGGAGCATCGACAATAATATAATCAATGCGCGTACCCTGTGCATGCACCCCATGCATGCATGCACCAATGAATTAGCATTATTATCAGTGCATGCAAGCTGTGCATACACCTCAGCGTTGTTACAAACAAAACAGAAAAAACAAGTTTAAACCTATATTATTAAATATAACAAAAACAAATCAAAGACCGATGCCCCCACCTCATTAGAATATCGTTTGTTTTTGTATTGATCCCATGCGGTGTACGCACCAACCCATGACAACGAGCTGCTGCTGCTGTTGCTGCTGCTGCTGCTGCTGCTGTTGCTGCTGCTGCTGCTGCTATTGTTGTTGCTGCTGCTGCTGGCGTTGTCGTTCTTGATGCATTTGTTGTTACTGTTGCTGCTGCTGTTGTTGTTGCTGCCGTTGCTGTTAGTGCTGCTGCTGCTGCTGCTGCTGCATGCAGCAGCAAAACTGTCTATCATTCCGTCTTCACTTAAAAGACTCTGCATGAAGTTAACTACGCAAGACGAATGGCTGGGGCGCCCGAGGTGTACGTACAGCTGAAATATTTCTTCGTGTGTTAGCGGCATCTGCATGCATGCAAACCCTAAACAAACCCTAAGCACTAAACCCTAAACCGCAAACCCTAAACCCTAAACATTAAACCCTAAGCTCTTTCAACTGCAAGCCCTAAACCCTAACTTCCATCTGTTCACTCGAGCCCTGCTGCTTGCTGCCCATACATCAGTGACTGCAGCACTGCATGCACCTGCTGCTGCTGCTGTTGCTGCTTCTTCTACTACTGCTGCTGCTCCTCCTCCTCCTGCAACTCCTGCTGCTGCTACTACTGCAGCTCCTGCTGCTGCTACTACTCCATCTCCTACTGCTGCTGCTGCTGCTGCAGCTGCTGCTGCCGCAGCTGCTGCTGCTGCTGCCGCAGCTGCTGCTGCTGCTGCGGCTGCTGCTGCTGGTTGTGTACCTGAATAGCAACGAATGCATCTGCGAGGTGAAGCAAAGAGAGTCGATTTGCTTCCTTGCAAATCCAACTGTTGCCGTCCCTGCCGTCGGGCTGTATGCGCAGCGAATACAAATGATAAAATAATAATAAATTAATAATTAAATTAAATTAAATTAAATTAAATTAAATTAAATTAAATAGCGAAGTGTAGATGCAATTATTCGGATTCCATCGTTGTTCTCTCTGCATTCCTCTGCAGGTAATAATAATAGCAGCAGCACTAACAGCAGCAGCAGCAGCAGCACCGCTAGCAGCAGCGGCAGTAGAGGCAGCAGCAAAACCAGCAGCAGCAGCACAACAGCAGCAGTGCCGCTAGCAGCAGCAGGTCTAGACGCAACAGCAAAACCAGCAGCAGCAGCACAACAAACGAATGAGGGGTCCTACGGTGTATGTGTAGCTGCACTCCACTGTCTCGCCTTCCCGTTCTCCTTGCTGCACTTTCACCGCAAAGCGGAAGGTAAACGCTTCCTTCTTCCAGTCTGCGCTGCTGCAGCCAGGTGATCCCTCGCAAGACCCCACAGACGATCCCACACACGATCCCACAGTCGATCCCAGAGTCGATCCCTGAGACGACCCCACACTCGGTCCCTGAGACGATCCCGTAGACGATCCCAGAGACGACCCCACAGTCGACCCCGCTGTCGACCCCAACGATGATTCTAGAGACGATCGTGGAGACGATCCCGATCCCGGAGTCGATCCCGGAGACGATCCCGGGATCGACTCCGCGACGGGCTGCGGTGAAGTTGGGATCCCAGCAATGCTGGAAGGCGTTACGGGCACCTCCCAGGCGCACAACGACAGATGCATGCGCGCTTCGATCTCGCTGTCGCTGCAGCAGCAACAACAACAACAGCAACAGCAGCAGCATCGGCAGCAGCAGTAAAGCCGAGGAGAAGCTCGTGGATAAGCAAACGCCAGACAGCAAGGCCCAGGCAACAAGGACACGCAAAATTAGGAGACGAAAATAAAAAGAAGAGGATCAGCAGCAACAGCAGCAAATAATAATAATGGCGAGCAGCGGGCGAGAAACAGCAGAGATCGGAGAAGCAGCAAACAAAAAGATACAAAGGCCCAGAGTTTGCTGCTGCGGATGAGGAGCATTTAATGACCCCTCCAAAGGACGTGCTGTCTGCTGTGGGTGTGGGATCGTCTCTGGGATCGTCCCTGGGATCGTCTGTGGGATCGTCTGTGGGGTCTATACCACGCCTCCCTATTTTTCCCTACAGAGCATCCCTAACAATAATATTATTATTAACATTAATAATAGTAATAGGAGTAGGAGTAGTAATAATAACAATACAGAGGTGTTCAATGAACAAACATTAAAACAAACAAAAATAAAATAATTATTCATAAAACCCCACATAGCTCTCCTCCGCAAAACAAAGATAAAACAAATATAAAAATAAACAAATAAGATTAAATGAGGCAAACATTTATTCAATTGAACCCCGCATCAATTAATTAATCAATCAACTAACTACCTACCCAATTAACTAGTTAACTAATTAACTAACGAATTAATTAACTTATTAATTAATTAGCTAGTTAATTAATTAATTAATTAATTAATTAACTAATTTAAGCTCTGCTGCTCACAAAGGTCGCCCCAATTGCTTCGGTCGTAGGCCCGGCGGCTTGAGCAAAAAGCGATAAGACCCCTGACGCCTTCTCCCAGCCTGCTGCCGCTGCTGCTGCTGCTGCTGCTGCTGTTGCTGCTGCTGCTGCTGTTTAGGGGCTGCTGCTTGCGAGAGCTGCACTGCGTAGTACTGAGGGTCTCTCAGCAGGCGCTCAATGTGGGGCCCTCCTGTCTGCAACTTCCGCTGCAGCGCAGGAGACAAAGCTGGGCAAGCCTTCCATTCCCCTGCTGCTGCTGCTGCTGCTGTTGCTGTTGCTGCTGCTGTTGCTGCTTCTGGGTGTGGGGCGGGCCAGAGGTCTCTAATGTTTATTACTGCATCGAGCAGAGAGACATCTTTGCAGTTGGTTGTTGCATTTAAATCCCCCAACAACAACACCGGCTTGCCGCGCAGCAGCCTGCAACTCCACCAAACAAAACCAAAAAAATGTACTTCCGTATATATATATATATATATATATATAGATATATACATATATATATAACTTCTGTATATATATATATATGTATATATACATATATATACATATATATACAGATATATGTGTATATATATACTCACATATGCTCATGCATATATAAACATTATTCATGCGTTAGAGATATATACATATATACATGCATATATATACAGTATACAGGCATATATATATATATATATATATATATTTACATATATATATATATATATATATTACCTCTGTTGTATAAGGAGAGCTCGCAGTGCATGCAGAAAGTGCAGCTTGAACGCCAAGCGACTCCAGCAGAGGCCGCTGGCCGGTGTATAGACATTCACGATAATACACCCGGAGTGCTCAGTCAGCAAGGCCCTCCCCTCTTCATCTAGATTTGCATGAGGGCCCCCCCCTCCTGCTGCTGCTGCTGCTGCTGCTGCTGCTGCAGTGGTGCTGCTGCTGCCTTTGAGCGGCCTCCAGCGAAAACCCGGGCCGCCTAAAGTGCGGGGAAAGCCGCGATTCAACAAACCAAACAAATCCACTGCTGCTGCTGTTTCTGCATCTGGTGCTGCTGCTTCTGCTGCTGCTGCTGCTGCTGCTCCTGCACCTTCTCCAGCGTTGATTGCTGCTGCCGCGTCTTCTTTTGTTTTTTCTGCTGCTGCTGCCTCTGCCGCTGACGCCCCTTCTGGGGACTCCGCTGAGCACAACCTCACCTCTGTGCTGCCTGCTGCTTGCACTGCTGTTGCTGCTGCGGTTGCTGCTGCTGTTGCTGCTGCTGCTGCCGTTGGCTGTAAAGGGGGAAGGAAACGGCTAAAGGGCTGCGAATCCGCTCTAAGCGTCAGGCCCTGCCGCACAATCGTCGTCACCCCGCTGTAACCTGCAGCAGCAGCAGCAACAGCAGCAGCAGCAGCAGAAACAGGAGCAGCAGCAGCAGCAGCAACCTCGTGAACAAGGGAAGAGAGTACTTCTTTCATAGGCAGGCAGCCCCATGCATGCAGTGGAGAAAGACGAACAGCAGCAATCACAGCAGCAAGAGCAGCATTCCAAGCAGCAGCAACTCTGCAGCAGCAGCCGCACCAACAACAGCAGCAGCAACAGCAACAGCAGCAGCAACAGCAACAGCAGCAGCAAGTTCGTGTACCCATAAGCCCTCTCTTTGCCTGGTGGGCGCAGCAGCACCAAAAGGTGTCAAATCCTTGTAAAGCCGCTCCAGCACCTTTAGGGTCTGTCTGCACAGCTTTTGCTGCTATTTTCGCTTCCTGCAGCAGCAGCAGCAGCAGCAGCAGCAGCGCATGCAACGGGTCTCGCTTCAGCAATGCACAACGCTGAACCTGGTGCACAGATTTCTTCTTCCTTATCTACACTATATTTCTCTATTTGCCTGCTTGCTGCTGCCCTGCTGCACTAGCTGCAGCAGCAGCTGCTGCTGCTGCAGCTGCTGCTGCAGCTGCATGTATGCATGCATGCATGCACCTGCACACAGATGACGTCGCAGTGCATGCGCTGGAGGAAATTCTCAAGAGAGCCCCAATCCCGCCTCAATGCAGAGACAGCAGAACGCCACCCCGCTACATTCCAGGTCAATACACCCCACCAGCCAGGATCTTGCTGCTGCTGCTGCTGCTGCTGCTGCTTCTGCTGCTGCTTCTGCTGCTGCTCGTGCTGCTTCTGTTGCTGCTGTACAGGCTGGTGCTGCTCCTCCTGCGGGTGCTGTGTTTGCTGCTGCTGTTGTCGCTGCATATGTTGCATTTGCTCTTGTTGTTGCTGTTGCTGCAGCTGCTGTTCCTGCTGCAGCGCCCGTGCGTGCTGCTCCTCCGGCACCGGCTGTACCTGCTGCAGCAGTTGCTGTTGCGGCTGTGTCTGCTGCTGCTGCTGCTGCTGTATCTCCCCCTGTGGGGTGGCTGCTGCTAGTGTCAGTGCCGAGCTTCTCGTTGAAGCAGAAAACTGTTGCTGCCCCAGCCCCTGCTGCTCCTGCTGCTGCTGCTGCGGCGGCTGCAGCCTGGCGGCGGCATCTTCTCCAGCTTGCATTACTGCGGGCTTCAAGGGACAGGGCGCAGCCATTGGTTCTGCTGCAGCAAATGCATGCAGGGCCCCCCAGCCCCACGTGCAGCAGTAGCAGCCGCAGCCGCAGCAGCAGCAGCAGCAGCAGCAGCAGCGCGAGCAGTAGCAGTAGGGAGGTTATTGGGTTACATGTTCCCGAGTCAGAGCCCCCTGTGCGTACACCTGGACGCTGTAGATCGATACAAATGTATTTCTTTGCTCTTTATGAGACGAGGGTTTTGTTTATTTGTCTTGTTGTTGGGTTTAGGAGCAGCAGCGGCTGCCAGCTGTATGCAGCATATGCCGCTCTGCAGAGCAGTGTTGTGCAGTGGGTTGTGATATAGAGACTCTAGAGCCTCCATCCCGAGCTGCAGATACACCCGAGAACAAGTGCATGCAGCAGCAGCTGCTGCTGCGTTGCTGCAGGTACTTGGGGCGCTCTGCAGCAGCTACTTACCCCAGGAGGGCTTGTTGCTGCTGGGGAGAAGATAAACCGAAAATTCACTCTAATTATTTTACTTTATTTTCATTGTTTCAACGCATTTTTAATTATTTAATTTCTTCTTCCTCTTAGTATTGCTAATACGTAAGGAGGTATTGTATTGGGGGCCCCTCTGCAACACCCACCAGCCCCCATATACATCTTTATGTACAGCGATTACTGCGCATTCTTTAGGTAAATATTTTAATGTTTTATATAGATTTCCTTGTTGTTTGTCTTGAACAAACATAAACAAACAACAAGAATAACAACGCATGCTCATAAACAAGGTCGAGGCTGTACTACACCTACAGACCGCCTCGCGCTCCAATGGACATCCAGTGAGAGGGTCCGCCGACTTTTTTTGTTTGTTTGTTTTTTCTCTTGAAGGTGTCCCTTTGATTTGTTTATTTAGTTCTGTTGCGCTGCTACTCTGAAACAAACTCCTTTAACCAACAGATTCCTCATTGGCTGGAGACGTGCAGAAATAACCAACTTGGTTGGTTGATGTATGTACACCTGCTTTTGAAGAAGAAGCTACTGCTTAACAACTGTTGACTCTGTTGGTCCATGCAGAGAATGGGGCTTGGGGGTGTTTGCATGTGGGGTGTCCTTGCGCGGGAGTTGCACTCAGGAAACAGCTGGAAGTAGCAGTCTGCCCTTGTTTCGCTCAAGGCAAAGGTCCTTGTGGATCTCTGCCCTGAACCCTCGGAGACTGCAGAAGAGGTGATCTGTGTGATGAGAGAGGGCTTTATCCCTGGCACTTTAATTTCGTTGCATCTAAAAACGATCCTCTCCTAAGACTGTGCCCCCTTGCAACAAGTAATAGCACAGAATGGTTCATTGGGGCAAGTGCAACCAGACAAACATAAACACGCAAAGCTGGACGACCTGCTAAACAGCACTAGTGGACAGGGCGGCCTCCACAAAAAGCAAAAAATCTTTAGATATATATTTTTCCTTAAAACTGTCAAAAATTCAGCCCAATTCTCCTGTAGCATACTGCGCAATAATCACGATATGCCTCCCGTGAGGAAATACTCATCTGCTGAGCGCCCTCGTTGTATTTTAACCAGCGCAGTACCCACAGACCATCAAGCTGAAAATGTTTTTAGCTGGAGAATGTCTACTTTTGTCGGGCGTCACGCGCTGATGGGGAATCAGAAGAAGATTCCCTCGCCACTCTGCAGTCCAGCTACAGTCTCTACTAGCAACCTCCTCATAATGAGAGCTGCAATAATTGTAGCCATATCTAGGCAAGGACGCCACTCTTCCGGAGCCCAAGCGAAGAATAAAACCCTTCGCAAGCGCCCTCCAGTGTAGGATTATTCCCCTACGTTGGGAAGCTAACCGGGTACGGCAGAATTAAGCAAACCTAAACGCGGCAAGTTATAGGCGATTCGATACAGAAGTGCCTTTCTTTGGTTAGCGCCGCTCTAACAGAAGACGCTGAATTTTTGTATCAATCGCTTACAGTACGGCATACTCCAGCGCAGCAATCTGCCAGTGGCTGGCTCGCGGAGAGGGAAGCACAGGGCGGAAAAGGGTGGAACCGGCCAAGATGACGGTGCTGTTACTCAAAAACATGAAGCAGTAGCGCATGCACCTCTCCATCTAACAAGGGTGCCGGATGGGCCATTCCCCAAGCCCCTCTGGGCTTGGGGAATGGCCCATCCACAAAGCGTAAGCAAGCGGGGTCGCTGAATTCCAGTCCCGACCAGAAGGAGGTGAGCAGTGGGAAAAGGCGGCAGTAGACGAATTCTTTACTCCGAAAGCCGGCGCACGGAGTGGCACATCTGCTTCTATGTCAAAAAGAAGGGCAATGTAATTGGGTTTCGTAGGTGCGTATATTGAGCTAACAAACTGGAAAAACAAGACATGGAGGTACACGGCAAGGCAATTCAACAAAGTGATCACGCGGCCTGCATGACTCAAGTGCAAAGTGCAGGGACAGTACTGTTTACGAACGACGTGAGCACTACACCTGCATATCAACAAATGAGTGACATCTGTGCCTATACCAGTTCGTATTAATGCTCAAAATATGCTAGCCTTACATGACGCAGGCATTGGAAAGGATTTTCTTCCTGAAGCTCCTGCGGGGAACTGCATCCTAGCAGTCTGCTCATCTGCGTTGTCTCTGCGAAAATGCTTCGCCACTGACAGACTCCACAGAACAACCGGTAATCTTATGAGCCTGATGGCTCATATTGGCTTGATCCCCTCACGTTGGACTTGTTCACTGCAACGTAACCCCAGTTGTGCCACGCGCGACCCAGAGGATGGCGCTCATGATATTTCTGACAAATATTTGCCAGAACCGAATCGCAGAGTGCGCCTGTCAGCGTTCTCAGCAGTGCACGCAAGGAAGAGCGGAATCAGTGTCCCAAGGAGAAAGGAGCAAAAGTACAACTGAGGGTAGATTCGCTCCCTGAAAGAACACACAAATGCAAATCATATGATGTTGTGGCATTTCAGAGAGAACCGTTTTCTGGGATTCGATGCAGTGAACACCGGAGGCAGAGCCGATCTCCGCTTAGTTGAAGCAAAGCTTCTGAAACGTGTTGAAATCAAGGAGCTCTCAGTGGGCCGCCCGCCAGTTGGACGCACAAACCAGCGCACGCACGGAAATCCCTCTCAGGCGCGAACTTCGCCCTAAAATGTACAAAAACCCGCATTTTGGAGAGGAGGTTTACCTGCAATCCAACGAACCAAGAAAAGGCAAAGCCCAATCGCCAAATGCTGCGGCGCCGACTAACAAATGAACGGGAGTTGGTTCATGTGCATCGACTTCAAGGTCCTCCAATCAAACAACACGGTAATTCAAAACATATCTTCATGGCCCGGATTGGCTGACCAGCGGCATGACCGCTTGCAATATTCAGGCGCAGCTGAGTATGTATACATTTGACTTCGCTGGGGCGTTTTTGCCTACACCCAGAGGTACCAGAGCCAAGCACAAGACTACTTTCAAACACCCGGAGGCAAATAAATTACAGTATCATGAGTCCGAACAGCTAGGGCTACATGGTTATATACGTGCATGATGCGTTCAGCAGGAAGCTCCAACGGCGCCGGCAGGACCAGCATCGCATCCTAGGGTTGCAAAGTAAAAAGGTGAGTCTTTACTAGATTACGCGACTTACCAGCAACAGATATGGAAAGTCAGTTAACAGAAAAACGTAGAAGAACAAATTCTAAAAATAGTTGCAAGCACATACATTGTAGTAAAATAAATATCGAATGAAGCCAATTCCCCTACTTTTTACACAATGCAGGCGGCTGTATTCTCTGCCGGCGACTATCTTCTTACGCTTTAGCGTCTGCTTAACGCGTATTAAACCAGAGGTAACGAGAGCAAAGGCCTTCCTCAGGTGGTCGCTTCCCCTGTACACTCCCATAGATGTACATCCTAAAGTACTAACGCAGCACTATCGTTGGACCCCGCTATGGATCCTGCAAAGGCCGGCAGGCAGTAAGCATACGAAGAGCCCGAACAAGCTGGAAGAAATCCCTTCAGACACTTGACATCCTCTCCAAGACCGAATTTCCCGGATTTCGACACACCTGTTTCCCTCAGAAGCGCATGCTGCACAGCGGTTGGATTGCTGCACTCTCAGCGCCTAGACGACGCCAGAAAGCTCCAAGTCACTGGCACATAATCACCTCCCTTGACTAAAAGAGCCAGGGAGTCCGTTTGGTGGGAAGTAGCTCTACTCGGTGTAACGACAAATAGAAAAGTGTCGACATAACTAATGTGGCAGGTACGTCAGTCCTCAAATGGATTGCCAATATCTGACACACCTGATAGAGAGGCTTCAAGGCAGGTACGATGAAATATTTGTTCGCTAGCTTTGGCTGCGCATATACAACAACCCCACAGGCAGCAATTATCTCGCGTATCACCTTGGTTGGTGCCACACTCTCCCGACGCCCTAAAACTGTATTGCTCAAAAACTCTTGTATGCAGTGTGTCCCGTTTTGTGAAACTGCGTTATAAGTCATGCTATTTTCACGCTGCTGGCGTACTTGCCAACCCCAACAGCAGGGGACAGGCTGACTGGGCACCGGTCAACTGTTGTGACAGACCAAGCATGGACCACGTTGATAACCCCACCTACGCTCGCCTCCCAATGGAACTTTGCCCAAACTGCATGACCATGCCATACCTGGCAATAATGGGCTTGCTAGGGTTAACAAACAAGTGGGACAGGTGGCCACTTTTTCTTGCTGCTCTAGAAAGCACCCTTCAGCGGAAAAGCTCGTCAACACATACCCGGAACACGGCACCTACAGCAAGGCGAATACTCCCTTCACTGGGTTCCTGCCCACTTTTCCTATTTCTAAGCTGATCTGGACGGATATCACAATCGCTTTCCTGCTGGGTTTACCATCACTTGGTGGTTGTGGCAGCACATACGTTGTTGCCCATGGACTCTGCAGGGTTGGCCATCTCGTCGTTTATTGCATTTCAGTGAGATCAACTGAAGTGGCACAAGTGTGTATTTGCCATGCGCGCAAGCCCCATGGATACTCTTAGCGCGCCAACATTGGCAGGGACCCTGTGCCTGTTAGCAGCATCTGGAACAAACTAACAACGCGGCTTGAGATTGAGTATAACATGCAGCTGCGAGTCAGCCCAAGGCACACGAGCAGGAAGGCAACACTAACCCCAGGCAAGTGGAGTATCTGACATACTATACAAAGCAAAACCCAACAAAGCCCCTTGCCTTCCTTCGGCCTCCGGAGTTCCTGGCCGAACTAGAGGCGCCAATACTGTTCGGTCATAGCCAGGCCTCCGGCCTCCGCCACCCGCCCGTGCTGGCATTCACACATGTCATGCAGCAGCTCGTGAATGTAATGAAGAGAGCGGGTGTACACGAGCCAGTAGAACGTGGCAACCGCTAGGCAATTACTTTCATTCAGGCCAGTTGGTTTGAGTGCAAGTACGCAGAAGAGTGCAGAGGCAGAGCGATTCGCCATGGCATCACGTAGGTGCATGAGAAGGCATGACCGACTGCAGAGGGATTGTGGCCCGTTGTGAGCAACCGTAGAATGGAGATACATACAGACGTTTTCTGAAACAGATTTTGACTTTGGGTCAGCGCGTGTTCTGCGCACAGCGGCAGAAGGACTTGCAGATGAAGACAACAGCAAGAGGCTTTCATGCTTTTCAGCAATCTTTGTTGCGACTTCTGCGGCAGTCCAACTCTGCACGCAAGCATAGGGTACACCGTTGTTGGAGGATCAGCTAGCACTTGAGATCAACGTTGAACATCGACCTGGAAACTCATAGCCAGGCTCTATATAAGTGAAAAGAACTGACGAATTTCGAGCAGAGCTTGTTGCATTGCCGTGAGTTCCAGACGGGCGAATTGCCCGTGTCCCTCGATTCCCAATCAGCGATGGATGCACCCGGGCAGGGGAAAGAAATGGCGCTTGTGGGAACTTCCTCTTCTGAAAACAGACACGTAAGAGAAACACGAGAAAGGGGACAGGGCGAGCACAGCCTGATGCTCCTCTTATTTGCTCAAGCGGTTTCCGACCCAGATGTGGCTGCGCCAGGACAGCGCAATGCCTGGTGGGCATTGTTCGTGGAACCCACTTTGTAGCTTCAGCCATGCGGGAATGCTCTTTCTACTGCTGAGTGGCAAGCAAAAGAGCAAGCTGTTGTGAATAGCTCTACACATGCGGTATAAATGGGAAAGTGAGGTAAGGGATCCAGCCTGCGTGAGAGGGCTAGCCGAAAGTATGAAAAGTGGCTCAGTTGTTTGCTGGGGGACGAAGCTGGCGAAAGGCTGAGCGAGTGGCGTAGATCACAGCACTAAAAGTTTTGCAGCCGATAAGGCGATGTGCTCTGCCAGTTGGGCAAAGAGGCCAACTCTTAAAAACTGTTGTACGAGCCCCGCATTTTCCTGTGCGGAGTAGTGTGAAACGTGTGAGGAATTGGTGCTTATTCCCCCACAAATCTCAGAAAATAAATGTTGAATGGATGGTGATAAAATCGCTTTCGGGCTTGGCTTGCAATTCCAACCCGAATGCGTTGACCTGACACAGGACAGCAAAGTTCGTAACCAACACAAAATGAATTGCTTGGGTTTGCCATTCTCGCTCATTCTTAGTGCAAAGAACGGATGAACTAGAGCTTAGTCACCCTGCTCACCACTGACTGTTGAACGCCTTTTGCTGTCTGCACTTCCTGCAGATTAGCTGCAGATTTCCGCCCTGTACACGGTAGGACGTTGTAGAAATGTGCGCTTGGTGCGTTCAGGTTGACTTCCTGCGCTCGGGAGTTTCCGCGTGGTCGTGGTTTCGGTCTTGCTAAGCCAACTCCTACCCGCGCGGCAGAATCTGCTAGCCAAGCTCGGGTCCTTATCACTAATGACTTTTGTAGGTAAAAGCACGGAACTTGCTTGTTGTCGGTGAACTTGAGGAGGGGACGAAGGGAGCATATTTGCTAAAAATATCTATTCTAGCGCATGCGTTTGACTGACGGAAAACTGACTAGGAAATCAATTGAAACATCTGTCCAGATCAGGCTAGAAACCAGCAGAAGTCACGATGTCAGAGCGTCGTATGAGTTTGCTGATGCCACTAGAGAAATCTGAGGACTTTGTCAGAGTCCCGCTTTTGGAGCGCTCTGCAGCTGCCATCGTGGAGAAGCTATGATATGCTGCTTTCCAAACGGGTACACGGTACCCCACCAAAAGCGCGTGACAGCATGCTGAATTGCCTGCGATAGTGTTGCACCCAATCATAGCCGACAAAAGCGCGGTCGTACGTATGGGACAAAACGTCTCTAGGACGCTTGTGCAGAACGAATACGACGCGAAGTCAACGGGTTGGCGTGCATACCGCATGGGTTTGCCACTCATCCATAGGTGATGCGGAGGGCAAGAACATTGAGATTTATTCCCTAAGCAGGACGCCACCTGTAACATGCATGGGAACTATTGTACCTCTTAACTGCAGCTGCGAGTTGCGTACCACTGCGCCTGGCTAATATGGGTCAGACGAGTCGGTCAGCGACCACGCTGGTGGTACTCTGAATATGCTTCCCTCTGAAAGTGTCCTGGGTGAACCGGCAACGTCACTGAACAACTCCTCCATTATGCAACTCCCAAGAGCTCTCCAGCAGGCGTCCCAGGAATTACTGATCAGTTTCTAAGCTGAATCAATTTCCACGCAAGCACTGTGGACACTTCTTTACAACCCACCAGGCCGCATAGAGCTGTTTCTCGCGTATACTCTCATTCCCGGGAAGGGTGCGCTGAAAAACCGATTGTTCGGCTTTTTGCGTCACCCTGGTGCTGAGATAACACTCAGTTAAGCCCGTTGCTCACCATCCATTCTTTCTTAGGAAAAAGAGTTTGCCACATTCCGGGAGCTCAAGCCCTCGAGAGGATGTCGGGTCTCTTGTAATTTTTCTGCCAACTAGTTATGTCGCTTTTACGCAAACGAGTTCTTTGAACTTTAGCAGGAGGACCATAAAGAGCGGGTGAAGGGAGGGGGGAGTCCCACCACGAAGGTAGGCTAGTCCTATGCAAGAGCCGCAAACATCCATATCTGTTTGATTGTACACTGTTGCCAGCGAGGACCGAAGTACATCCGTAATCGCCTTATGTGGTTTGCCTTCCGTAGGGGAGGCAGGAAACCCTAATACTCTAGCCATTGACGATCCAAGACGATATTCAGACGCACCCTAACCGGCGGGTGACGCTGTAGGAGACATTTCTGTGCCAGCCATCAGGCTGCATTCTGACTTCCAACGAGTGAGGGGGGTTTACTGGGATAAATTTCTGACACGTCCAGGCTGTTAAATCGTTAGCGCGGCACCGGAAATTTGTGTTTGACAGTGCTCTTGTCTACGGGCCTGAAGTAGACAGAAATGCAGCACCTGCTGTTATGCGTCTTTTGCCAGAATTGGATTATATATAAGCACGACAGTTAATTGCTGAGATCTGTCTTTCCTCGCTGGTCGATCCCCTCCTCAATTAGATGATTGAAATTTGCTTGCTGACGGTTCTTTTTGTTTTTTCCAGGGAATGGGTCGTCTTCTTCTCTTTTGACCACACATTGACCTCCTTGGATGGACCTCCCAAGTTAGGGCATGCCCTAGAACGGCCTTCAGCGGGGCTGACTGTGACTTCAGGCCGTCGCGGCCACGCTGATAGGCTCTTCCCACCTATTCTGCATAAGCAAGCTGTTTTCGTGTGGTCCCAGCTTCGCTGCGATTCCCGTGTTCCCCGGGCCATTTCCCAGGAACCCCTGGTATATTTAGAGGCAGCCTACGCTGCAGACGACGAATTTCTGCACGGCTTTCGGCACCACATCTGCGCTGGGTTAGAATGTCGCTCGCTTGCTGTTGCGACACTAATTCCCCGCCTAGTTGCGTCAAGCATGCAAGTAGAGTTCAAATGGCTTAGATGATGGCTGTCTTCTATGCTGCTGGCGGAGAGATCAATAGTATGTTCTGCAGCCTAGATACACCGTCTGCAGCTATTGACTTACGGGAAGAGGCACTAGACTTCGGCTGGAGTTCCTCAACCCAGAGGTCTCGAATCATGTTAAAATGAGGGGTTTCTTTGCTGAGCATCATGCTGAGCTAATGGTTTGGGCCTTCGTTGAGCCTTCGCGCCATACGCAAAGGGTATGCGTCGACATTCCATCACTCAGGAGAAATATGGGTCCTGTCACCAAGGCATTGGCTTTTGGCTGCAATCCACTAGAAGGACCTGACGAGACTGTTTGTATGGATACGTACTTGTTGTTCCTCGTTCCGCGATACTCAGCAATCATGTGCACTTCCCTTGCTCTGCCAAAGAGCGGTAGCAGCTCTGGAGGATTAGCAAGAACTAGGTATTACACCAGATGGTAAAGGGTCAACCCTACGAGCGGAAACCGCTAACGTGCAAAAGCCAAGAGCGTAACCCACACGGACGGCACTGTTGCGCGGCTCTGGACTTCTTGCCTGCTCTAGGGTAGCGCGTTCTGCGGAGGGCGTGACGGTTCCCTTTAACCCGGCTGGGTTGCACGCTGTGCACTCCGCTCTTTTTGGCTGTAGTCTGCACTTGGGTGAGGTTTCTTGCTGCGTAAAGGGCAATGGAGCGCTCGGTCCCTAAAGAAGTTCTTTTGCTGGACTTCGGCTTTCCCTTCAGCTAGTCTAGTACCCAACCCCGTCGTCAAAAGGCATACGACAAGGAGATGGAAGAGACGGGTACAATGTGCATACTCGGCGAAACGTTTTGCTACCAATACTACCCAAGTACATGGATAGAATGGAAAAAGGATATGCATGTTGGAGGGACGAACGGGACTCCCGCCCTGCCCTTCTGAATGCTCGGTTCGGTTGACACCCTCTTTTTCCCCATCGCCCTCACCTGCGCGGGAGTCTCATTCGCCCCCTCCAGCATGCATTGGTTTCTGCCGTTATCTCGCTTCCTCGTACTGCGAGCGCAATGGATCCCCCAGTTCTCACACTCCAGCCCTTCCCGCCATCTTTAGAGCCCCGCCCCTCACTGCATGTTCTTTTTCAGCGTGCGAGGGGGTAATAAACCATGAATAGTGAATGTGCAACTGCAGCAAAGGACGCCTGCCCAGTGTGCATTGATAATTTTCGGTGCGACGCTCCGTCAATACTTTGTCGTGTTGGGACAAAACTGGGTTTTCTTGCCTCCTCGCCAGAATTTATAGACAGCCACAGGCCGCCTTTTGCAAAGATTTGCTTGACTGAATGTCCCCGCGAATAGTCGTGTCCTTTTTTCGAGGTGGCGGCAATTTTGATGCCTCCACTTTTTTGTGCAAGGTGCAAGCAACCACTGGGAGTTGCTCCTAGCCTTTTGAGAGCCCCTTCAATTCGCCGCAGAAGACCGGAACTCCCTTAGGTGTCGACGGCCTGGCGACCACCCACACTTGGAACGCACAGAAGTGAGGTAGCATGCTTTCGAAGTAGCTTTCGGTAAAATCAACGGCTTACAATGCTCACATTCCTATGGAACGACGGGTTCCCCTGTTGGTCCCCACTTGTGGGAGGCCATGGGCAGAGCAGTTTGAGCTTAGGGAAGGGGGCAACAAAGAGAGAAGGTAGACAGCTGAGACGCATATCCTGCTGGCTTGACAGCGTATCCATCCTTTTGTTGTTGGAAACGCCTTTCCTATATAATGTAGAAAATGCCCAATCATTCGTCACGGGGAACCCTTTTACGATGACTATCTTACATACATTCTTATTTCCGATTTTGGCACAGAGAGATAAAGAGCCATCAGGGTTGTTCCTCGCCCTTGGTGCTGGGGCCATGCTAAACGGGCTAACTGATCATTGTAAGGGCAGGGTTTAAGTTTGGTCTCGGTTGCACCATCGGCCTGTATCAGGGAAGACCGCTAATATGCGCAAAGTAGGAACAGCTATATAGGGAAGGACGCTTGCAACCAGGTGCAGACCACCCCGATGCTGAGTAGCACCATGACTAGCGACGTGCTACAGGCTTTCTCTTTTATATGCTTGAGCGTGAAAATGCTGTAGACCTGAGTGATTAACCAATCAAACCTGGCGCAGGCAGAAAGGTGAATTGGAACTAAAAAGAGCCGTGGTACATATGGGCCATCGTCTACATCGGCCACCGCTGTTGGGCCCAATGAAACACCATGTGCATCACCGGTCAGTCACTCCATAGCTTCGACGAAGGAAGTGTGACGGGGGCATGCTGTGCACGGTGGAGAACTTCCAGAAATGTAACTGCGCGTGCAGGAATCTAACGTCCGTTTGGCGTACGGTCGCTGCGGCACAGCTCCTCAATGGGAAGCTAAATTTTTGAGCATTAGGCTGTACATCCATTATATTACAGTAGGGGCAGGACAGTGCTGTCTAATGAAGTGTAGTAGTCGTACTGTAATATAATGTTTGAACGGGAGGGAGCGATTGAGCGTGCGTCTGGGGAGGAAACTTGGATGAGAAAGGAGAGGGGGAGACGGCAAACCCTTAGAGGGCCTGCGCGTCTAGCGTACCGGCGGAGTATCTGCGTAGACTTGGCGGGGCTGGTTTCTTAACGCCATTTTGCGGGAAAGGTGGGGGCAAAATGATGCTGCATATGCGCGGTGCAGCGGCGCCGATCTCCTTCACATGCCATCCGCCAAGGGTGCGCACGTGCAGACGAAAGACCCATGCAAAGGTGGGCCGCAGGCAAAATTCCCCAACGGGTAACACACTTGGGTGCAGACAATGACGAAACACGGGGGGAATGGCAACTGCAGGGTAAAATGCAGTCCCGTTTTGTTCTCTGAAAGCCAGGTCGGTAAATCGTGCGCTCCACGCAAACTCGCGCAACCTAGCACAGCAATGAGGTGGATCTCAGTATTCAAATTTAGCGTTTATTGTGATATATGTGAGATTCTGAGGGACTCTCTGATCCGAAGGACGTACGTTGACTAGTCATTAGTGCAAGATTCGCTTTTGGAAGAGGCTTGCTTGCGCTGAGGCGGCCTAAACACGCAACAGCCTACTAAGGCAGAGTCGTCAGTCTTGTCTGCGTAGTGTACTGGTCACGCATTGTGGGGAGATCACTGGGCATATAGTTGGTGCGAATTTCTGTGGTATACTGGCTGCCTACGCAGTAGGCAGGGAGGCCATCGCATAGGCACCGAAAGGCGGCCTATGGACCCCTCACTAATAAATGCCTGCTGGGTGGTGGCTAGACTTGCTGTTTTTTCAAAAATAGTGAAACAACCGAATAACGTTTACCGGTATGCCGGAAGGATACTTAGCAGAGCTTTGTCAGTTGATGACATGTGCCAACAAGGCCCTTGGTGGCAGGCACGTGAAACCAATAAGAGCGAATGTGGGGGAAATTTCACCGCATCCCTATAGATTTAGGAAAATCAGTTCATTCGGCTTGCTTGCCAACGGATAAGCAATGGTTTCACTAGTCAGCAGAGAGCTTCCGAGAGCAGCTGACAAAAATCATCAGGCTTTCTAACGGTTAGGCTGGCGAGAAGCAACACGGTTTCGATGTGCTTGGGCTCCCTGGGCCTCTAGGCACGCCCGATATTGTTTTCGCTACAGTGTCTCTTCGAATTCTTGGACTGATTATTGACGCATCAAAGCAAACTGTCTCATAGTAGTGAGCAGCACGATCAGCCAAGCAATATCCTAGAGATGAATTTGCGGCTAGAGGATTCGACGCCAAACAAATTTCCAAGAAATATCTTCAAACGGCTATGATGCCATCGAAATATTTCTTGCACAGCTTAGTTGTGCATCCATGATACGCTATGCATTGTTGTTTTTCGTGATTTTTTGTTGCCTGTTAGTTTATGCCAGTGTGGGTGAATGCTGGGCAGGCGAATCACTATGGCAGAACGGCTGCAAGCCCGGAGCGCCTAGCCAACTCCGCAGAAGCGTTTTGAGTTCTTGGCGAAAGGCTCGCTATCTACTCGCATGCTAGTTAAAGACCCCGTCTGGTTGCGCGTTCTTGCGTGATTGGAATGTAACGACAATTATGGTTTTATAGTGTCCATATCTTTCAAATTCATTACGGTTTCAGTTTCGTACTATTCCTATTTCCATTTTTGAATACTTTATATTTAGAACAATGAAATTGCCCAGCAGCTGTCTAACAGGAGACATTCAAGTCAATGATGAGTACCTTTTTTGAGATTGGTGATTACTACAGGCGAGTTGTTTCCGTTGGCTACGAAACCGAAAATAACCACGCACTTGAGTCAAGAAACTAGGCAGAGAGTGATTGTTACACAAACGGAGCAACACAGGATCGACCAAAACACACGATAGGGGATTTATTGTGGAGTTCGGGAAATTCCGATATGCTTTAGGTCAATGTTCTGCGAATCCGCGTTGGTGCAGCGAAAACCCTGCTGGGAACGTGAGAAAATGTGTAGACGTAGTCCCCAATAGGTTCACAGTGTTATTAGCTAAAATGGTGGTATGCACGCCTTCTCCTGTGAAGAATGTTTTCATACGGTTTTGTCTCACAAGCCGTATTTCCGCATGCAAAACCTTGGCATCCTGGGAAAGCTAGGCAACGCCAGTTGAATGCCTAGACAAAGTTACCTACGAAGCGGGAAAGTGCAGAATGGGACAAAAAATACAGGAATGGTACTGCTCAGATGGCTCCGCGACAGTCCAGCAAGGCAAGCATTCGGGAGAGCGTCATAGTTACCAAAAGGCTTCCAAAGTGGGCGACAGCACACCGGCCTGGCCGGACGGAAGTAGTCCTTCCATCTCCTCCAGAATCGAGAAGATCCGATAAAGCTTGACGTCAAAACGCGGGC